CCATTTAATACTTGTAATAAATATTTTGGTTGAATTTGTCGATGTAACAATCCAATTCCAATTTTTTCAAATGAAAATATTTGTATATAATTTACATAATCAATTAATGGTTTTAAAATCAAATGTTTGATTTCAAGTTGACAAAAATAAGACCAAAGACATGCTTGACGAGTTAAATTTGATTTACCATGAATATGATGACGTACAGGTGTTAATAATAAATTATAATCATATTTATTACAGGAAAAATTCAATGGAATTTGATTTATTTGACGATAAATATCTGATATAGGTGCATTTAATAACCACTGATGATCAATATCAGGCATTATATGACGAAAATGTGGACTAGATGAACGTAATTGTAAGAGAACATTTGGTTTAATAAGATCAATTAATTCTTTCATTATAATAAGACCTGTATCTATATAGAAGAAAATAAAATAAAATAAATAAAAAATTAAAATTTGTTTTTACCAGAACCCCAACCCATGGTATTGATAAGTAATAAATCATGTTGATCATTTTGAATATAATCATATAATAACTTAACATAATTTAAATAATTATAAATTTTATCATTGTCAACTTTAATATTTCCAAAGTAGAATGATTTTAATGGTTTTTTTAAATGTGAAGCTGATGGACCAAATAATGGTTCAGTTATATTATTAATTAATGATATTGAACCACTTGGAGTAAATTCACTTTGACCAATATCACAATCAAGAAATGTTACTTTTGGTACTGAATTTGTTTGAGAAATACATTTATTAATTAAATAACGTAAATATGTTGATTTGCCTGAATCTTTTGCACCACAAACAAATACAACTAATGGATCATTGCTTGTTCTTGTTGAAAGACGTGATACAATTTCATTTGTTACTGAATGTATTTCAGATGAATAATTAATTGAACGATGCTAAATTAAATATAATATTTTAGTTCTTATCATTAATAGGATAATCAAATAAGAATTAGCTTTTATTCTCAAATATTATTCATGATATCTTACATAATTATCTTTGAAAGCTCCCATTCCTGACCATAACTGTTTAAAACCATTTGTATTCTGTATTTGTTCATCATCATCATCATTATTATTATTAACATTATTATTATTATTATTATTATTGAATAACCATTCATTTGAAAGACTACTATGACTAAATTCTTTCATTGATTCAATCCATGTTGTTTGAAGTTGTTCAACAAAAAAAACTGATAAACCATGATGAGATTTTGCTAATTTTTGAATACATTCAATATAAATTTCAGGTAAAGGTAATTGAACATGATAATTATCAAAAAATGAACGAATTTGATTTTCATTGAGTGAACTTTTGATTGAAGTTGATGAAGTTTCAATAGACATTAATGATTGAGATGAAAGATTAAATATGGGATAACGTTTTAATAATTGAAGATTAAAACCATGTATAGAAGCTGATGGACCAGATATTTGTTCCAAATTAAAAAGGCCAAGCAAACTTATACGACACAAACGAGGAGAAAATATTAAAGCACGATGATTTTTTGAATTAACAAAACAAAGACTAAAATTAAATTTTATAAATAAAAAACGAATTTTTTTCTTCTGTTAAATAAAACATACATGCATTTATTATTTGTTAATTCATTTTCATTTAATTGATAATCTTGTTCATTATTTGATATAATATAAAAAATTGAATTATTTTCTTGTTTTTTATCATTATTATCATTAAAATTTAATTGTTTTTTAATTTTATTTATGTTTCTTTTTCGATTTTTTTTTAATTCTTTTTTATTTGTTAATAATGATAAAGTATTTTCATCTAATCTTTTAATATCTTTTTTTATTTTTGTTTTTATTTTTCTTGGTGATGTACGTAATTGAATAGGTGGACGAAAATCTCGTAAAAGAAATTTTCCAACTGTAGTTTCAACAATAACTGGAATTTCTTTGGATTTTTTCATCTAGAATTATGTTTTATTCTTATTTTTGTCTCTTTATTATACAAAAATAAAAAAATAAAAGAATTTTATTTATTTTATTATATAAGTACATTATTATATTGAATATTGTTAAATGTTCCACCGGCCATAGTTTTATCAACATACGTTTTAAATATATTCCGATCTTGTTTTAAGATTGCAGCAGCATCATGATTCAATGGATCATCGGCATTTGGTTCCTATGAAACAATTATAATATTAATCAAAAATAAAAGATACTATATTGTAATTTAACTTACTAAAAAGAGAAAAATCAATCCAAGAATAACTGTTTTTATAGTTAACATCGGTCTCCAATCGTCTCTACAATAAATAATAGAAATTTTCTTTCAAAAAACTTTTCTTTTTCATACCTAAGAATATTTAAACAAACATTTCCTTCAAGGTTAATATTTGGATGATAGATTGTTTGTGTACATTTTACTTTAGGTGGTTTATTTGGGTAATCAGATGGAATATCAATTGAGAATATAAAACGCCCGTTTTTATAAAATCCCTATATAAAAAAACATTTTTTTTTATATCATTTTGATTGTTTTATATTTACATCATCTGGTGATATTATTATTGTAAACTGAGAAATATCACTTAGATCTGGTTGAATTACTTCACATGTTGATGGTAATGCATTCAAATCAGCAAAATCTATATTAAAAATACTGAAATAAATTAGAAGAAAAATAAATAATTGAAATACCTCTCAAAATACGTAGACGACCCATAGATTTTTTATCTCTATCATTATCGGATAATGCATTAGTATCAGATGCTGTTTTTTACTGTAGAGAAGGGATATTAAGCATAATATTAAAGAATTTTTATTACACTTTATCTTAGATTAATACATACAGTAGACACATATGTTCGATCATTTTATACAATAATTGTGACTCATTTTGGATATTTCACAATCGTAACATTTTATAACGTGAAATTTCCTAGAAAGACAGATAATAAAATAATAAATTAATTTCGTCAGTCAATTTGTTCATGATGAATTCAATGGATAAACTATTTCTGCAATGACGAATAATGACTAAGATAAAACTTAAAGCGACCCCTCATGTATATTAATTATAATAACAGTCCTAGTTATGTACGCCATCTACATATTATCTGTATCAAAACACATATTCTTTGTTAAAATGTATTTCTTTTTTAAAGTTACAATTGTCATTTTATAAATGTTAATGGATTAATTGAAATGGTATCAATATTTAAGTAGAAACTAGATAAATATTTAGACTGTTGCTATCTATGTATCAAAATCTGTATAAAAAGAATGTATCTTTGCATTAAACATTATTATTATCATTTATTATTGAGTGTTCATACAACACTTTTAAAACGTATCTATTTAGATTTAATAAAACAATCGTGTGTATCATATGCAATAGTACAATTAGTCATTTGTTTCATAAATCATCACATAGAAATCGTATTAATTCAAATCCTTACGCATCATAAATTTATTTTAAAAATTTCTCAGATTCTGTAAAAAGATCTAATCACTTAACAAATTCAATTCGCTCATTTCCGTTCAAAAACTCTTTATATGCAATATGTAACGATTTTATTTCGAAAAATTAATATAAACAAACATGCTAAGTATCACATAAATTATACGACAACTTCAGAAAGTATGCTGAGAATATTAATACAAATACAATGTAACATATGTCTAACTAAATACATATAAAATAGATCGCGAATGCGTGAATATATAAG